TGCCTAACGCAAAATCTTTGTTCTGAATCTGAGAATTTATCCCTCACAGCTGGTACCAATCCCTACAAAATTTAAAAAGGAAGGGTGAGTACTAATCCATTGAACAGTAAATAATTCAAATATTTTAAAAAATGACAAGTTGAACAAAATCAAATATGATGGAATAAAGTCATACCTTCTGTCTGTCTGTCATGATAGTATAAGGTCCAGTGTTGTCGATAAGGAGATCTTCTTTCAAAGTATTCAAAAACCAACCCCAACTAGCTCTACTCTCCACCTCCACAACAGCCATGGCTATAGGATAGATGCAGTCATTAGGATCAATGCCTACTGCAGTCAACAAATGTCCCCCAAACTTGGTTTTGATGTGGCATCCATCAAGGAATATGATAGGTCTACAACCACTTAGGAATCCTCTTTTGCAAGCATCAAATGACACATAGCATGTATGGAAGCACATATTTTGTAGGTTCAAGAAAAATTTACTACCTGGATTTGAAGTCCTAAGCTCTTGTCCATAATCTCACAACATATCGTATTGTGCTATTTCATCACCATATATCGCTTTCATAGCTAGTTTCCTTGCTCGACCTAATTTATGTCTTGATGGTGTTACATTTAGTTCCTTTTGAACTACTTTAGAGAAACTTTTGAGTGTCATCCTATCATTGTCCCTAAAGCTTTCAACATATCTATTTGCAAGATACCTGGCAGTTACATAATTCAACTCCCACTCCTTCTGACATTTGTGGCCATCTATATATCTTTTTACCATAAGACAATTCGTCCTGCTGTCCTCAGCTACATCCAACATCCATGAGCACTCTTCTTTACATTTAGCCTCAATTTTTTTCTTGGTATTTCTTGTAAATTTAATTGCGACTCTATTCTTCACACTGTATTGTTTTATTGCTTGCCTAACTTCAATAGCATCAGAGAACAACATCCCAACCTTAAAGATTGGTGACTCCATGTCCACAGCAGCCACAAAGTTCTTAAATTTCAACTTAATGCCTTCATTATCTTCATCAGATGACTCTGGAAGCAACAAGCCTTCATCATCAGAGTCATGTTCAGGAAGCTTAACAACCATCTTGCTGCTAGCCACTTCTTCTATCTCGACACAGTTGTCAAAAGCATCATCATCCCCCTTGTCAGCCTCATAATCACTGTCAACAAAGTCAGGATCTACATCGATGTCATCGTCATCGTCAATGTCATGACCTTCTATAGGTTTAACATCTGAATCTTTTCGATTCATTGTAGACCTCTCACGGCTAGCCACGATAGGTATAGAAGCAGGGGTAGAAAGAGCAACATCATCCCAATTGATGGATTCCAGAATGTCTTGGTGATCCACATACAAAAGCAATGTCCTAAACCTTGGTGCTAATGCAACCATGCTGTTGGTGCTTGCATCAGAGTTAATTCTCCTTAGCCCATCACTGAATGTCTTCCCAGGCAATAACCAATAAACCTTGGCCTTCTCAGACATATCATATCCTAGTTGCTCAATAAAATCATCAAGCCATAATGAAGACCATGTGTCACTGTCACAATAATCAAACCAATCCACCTTTTCATCCAAATAAATTCTGCTACTACCAACTCCAGAGAAAAAACCACCATGATGTAGTTCAGTTGTGAACTGTTCATCCTTGCAGCCTACATCACAAGACAAATCATTCTGATTTGTCAAATTGTAAATAATTATCTGATCTGTTATAAAAAAAAGATTATAAAGAGTACATATTCATGATTAGAGCAAAAATTATTTCTAATCACAAACTATTCGTGAAGGATTACTTATATGACACCTAGCCTTATAAACACCCAAGCAGTGGCGGAGGCAGCGCCGGGCCACCACAGGCAATTGCCCAGGCTCCATGCGTACAACAACACTGCTCCAATGCATATACAACATATTACTCATTAAACATATACTTAATCACTTTGTCTCATAGGTTATAATGGAGATTAATTAAATGAATAAACAGAAACGAGGAAGCAAGGACCAAACCATCAAACTGTAGATACAGACACCAAACAACACAATCACAAGATTCAAGAAAAAACAGAGAAACATGCAATTACCGGTACAAATCAATGAAACCCTAACTTTATCAACAACAATCAATTGAACCAAAAACGAAAATATGTAATCACTAGGGAGTTATTTACCATAAGAAGGAGGGGACGCCCCAAGAATTCGCCGAGTCGGCGCCATCCCAGCGCACGAGGCGATCACGTCAGATCAGTTCGTAGGTCTGAATTACTAAGCGCACCAGTTTGGGATGATCTCAGATCAGCGTGGCTCATATATGATGCCCTCGCAACCGGCGCAGAGGCGATGCAGTTTTGCTGTGCACTCGCTGCTAGCCACCGTCGCCTCTCGATCTGTTGAGGTGAGTAAATCACGGACAGAAAAACAGAACCAAGGCACATATATTTTTTGCTGTGTTAAAACAAAAGAACCATTTAGAATATAAAAACTAGTAGGAGGTTTTTTGTAAAATGAGATGGGATATCACTCTATGATGCTGATGCTAACGTGGGACTTTGTCCAAGATGGAAAGCTGACGTGGCAAAAAATCTTATGTGGCAGCCTTTTGAACCATAAACGCACCCACCTAGCCAAGTTGTTGCATCGGTATGTCCAATTTTCAAGTTCTCGCACTTAATCGCACCCACCCGCCAAGTTCTTGTACCGTCAACGCAATTTACTCTTTAAAATATATGGAAGTAAAAACATTACTAAACACTAATAAGTATTATAGGGAAAAATATGAAGTGCAAACCCTATATGTAATGCAAACGTAGAAAATACCGTTGGATCGAAAAATGGACGCCCGATATTCGTCCACGTCAACATGAGTTAAAATTTTACTCGTAAACTGTACAGCAAAAGAATCCCTGTGAGTTAATAAATTGCTCTAGATATTACGTTTATAGAAGAAATATTGATCAGTTAAAAATTTACTATCACATACCGAACAAAAATACCCATTAGTAAAAATTTCACCAACGGCATGAAGATTTTTTCACTGGAAGGATCGCCTGTCACGTGTATATTTCATTGAAACGTACACCCTCCGTCCCAAAATAAGTGCAGTTTTGCACTATTCACGTTCAACGTTTGACCGTTCGTCTTATTTGAAATTTTTTTATGATTTGTATTTTTATTGCTATTAGATGATAAAACATGAATAGTACTTTATGTGTGACTAAATATTTTTAATTTTTTCACAAAATTTTCAAATAAGACGGACGGTCAAACGTTAGGCATGAATATCCACGGCTGCACTTATTTTGGGACGGAGCTAGTACGTACCACGGCAGCCAACCCCTATGAGTAATTTTTTAACTTCAATTACGCCCGCTCCAAGTCAAATTTTATAATGAGTAATTTTTTTACTCAGTTGTCTGTTGCTGTGGGAGGGGAGCAGGGTGGTCGATAATCACGTGTTTCTCTCATAAACCAACTACTGTAACTGATTTAGCCCACGGTAATTTTTTTACTCTGTTTGCACCTGCAGGATGGGGATGGGTGGCGGGTCTGTACGCTGGGGATGCGGGCTCCCGCTCTGAGTGGCGCCACGGTTTAGCTGGCGCGCATCGCCTGTGTCTCGCGTCACGTAGCGTGACCTTATATATATATATATATATATATATATATATATGTATATATGTATATATGTATATATGTATATGTATATGTGTATATATGTATATGTATATATATATACATATATGTATATATGTATATATGTGTATATGTGTATATATGTATATATGTGTATATGTGTATATATGTATATGTGTATATATGTATATATGTATAAATATATGTATATACATATATGTATATATGTATAAATATATGTATATACATATATATACGTATATATGTATATGTATATATGTATACGTATATATGTATATGTATATGTATATAGGACACTCATATGGGGCACCATGGTGCCCGGGCACCATGGTTTCAAATGCACAAAATTACTCAAATTTTTCAAAATTTTTAAATTGTGAGTATATACCTAGTTATAAGAATTCGATTCATACATATATCTATCAACAAAACAACTCAAATTTAACTTTATTTCACAATTCATGATTACATACCTAACTAATTATATGTATGGATGCTATATACCTAGAATCAAAATCTAACAAAAACAAGTTCAGTTCAAACTTGCTTTGAACTAGTTAGTAAAGTAGTTAATGTTAATACCTAAATAATTGAAAAAGTTTCATACTCATTTGAATTGGTTATATACTCAATTTCAACAATGGTGCCCGGGCACCATGGAGCACCAAACAAATTTACTATGTATATATGTATATGTATGTATATGTATATATGTATATATGTATATATATGTATATGTATATATATATATATATGTAAATTAACTGGTGCTACATGGAGTATGGGCTCCAAGATTCAAATTGAGTATATACCCAATTTGAATGAGTACGAATTTTTTTTAAATGTTTAGGTATGAACATTAACTTCTTTACTAACAAGTTCAAACAAGTTTGAACTGAGTTTGAACTTTTTTTTTTTGTTAGATTTTGGTTCTAGGTATATAACATCTAAACATATAATTCGCTAGGTATGTAATAATGAATTGTAAAATAAAGTTGAGTTTGAGTTATTTTGTTTTTAGGTATTGGTATGAATCAAATTCATATACCTAGGTATATACTCACAATTTAAATTTTTAAAAAAAATTGAGAGATTTTGTATGTTTTATACCTTGGAGCCCGGGCAGCATGGAGTCCCATATGGGTATCCTCTATATATATATATATATATATATATATATATATATATATATATATATATATATATATATATATATATATATATATATATATATAGAGAGAGAGAGAGAGAGAGACACACTATACTATACTACACATGGGGTGTAGTGTATTAAAACACAACCCACCTCCTCTCGCCGCACCTCCCACCCCTACCCCCCTCCCCTGCTGCATCCCACCCCCATCCATAGTATGTGTAATAGTAATTTTCTTACTACCCCACCAAACCTAAACTACCGGTAATCTATTTACTCACCTATTTTGCAATATGTATATTAGGATGCAACGGACCATCCCATCCTATTTTCCTGGATCTAGAGTCCATCCACTCCCATGCCGGTTTTCCCGCATCGACCAAGAGGGAGAGGGCACGGGAGAAGGCTGGCGGTGGAAGTGTCCTCCAGCGACGGGCGGCGGACGATGGGCGAAATCGGTTAATGACGAGTGAAATCGGTCGGAGGTGGCGATGGTCGCGGGTCGCCGACGTCCTTTGCGCCGAGCCATGGAGAGGTGAGGTGGTTCTGGCTATTTTCCTCGCTCGATCTGGTGCTCCCTTCCCCACCCCGCCCATGAATCGGCGTCGACATCGACAGGATCTCTTGAGGAGGAGGGGGCGGTTGACGGCGGGATGCGGGGAGGAGCATCCGGCTGCGTTGACCACACCCTGATTCCTCCCTCGAAGGATCTGGCACGGATCAGGCCTCCCATCGCTGCCTCCCTCCCACAGCGGTGGCGTCATGATCTGTGATGCACGATGATAATGAGGGTAAGCAGCTGAGTCCATGCAATTTTGAACTTTTTACTTTGCATCTTTGTTGTTTTACCGATTTGCTGCTGCAGTTCTGCTAATTTGCTCCTGTATTCTGATTCCTTCACATTCTGCAGTCTGCACTCGTGCCGGTCGGCAGCAGGCGCTGGAGACCCTGGCCACGCAAAGCAGGCATGGGGATGGCGGTCAGGACCGATGGATGGATGGATGTCAATTCGTATGTGTTCCAATGAAAGTCAGGATGTTTTATTTGTTTTATTTTCTCTCCATGTTCTATCTACTCAATCAATCTCTATAGGCAATAGCTACTTGTTTTTCTTTGAGGAAGCATAGCTGCCATGTTTGATCAATTAATTGCAGCTTATTTGCGGGCGCCAGATATGTGTGGTGATTGCTTGTGTTCGTTGATGCGCTGTATAACATACATGCATGTTCCATCGATCCATTGTAGATCAATTTGTAGTGAATGCTAGATCATTCTGAATTTATGATTATTCTTTTCATTAAGAACATTCGGTCCATTTTTATTCTTGAAATCGTTTTTCATCTGAAAAGATGGCAGGTTTTGTGTAGCTTATAACTTGTATGTTATTAATCAGAGATATATGGATATTTTAGCCTGAAGTATCCCAATTACCTATTCTACATTTTTCAGCCAACTGCATTCTTAATTTTCTTTTTTGTAGAATGTCATCGATCACAGATCGGGACTAGGCAAGCCCAGGAACTACCGTTAAGGAAACATAATGTGACATCCATGCTTGTCTGAATAAAAAATGATCTGTTGGCTAAAAGTAGGCATGAAGGAACCTAAACTGGTAGTTCAATTTTTTATAAAGCATTTTATTTCTTCTTCGGCGAATCATATCTCATTTAGAGTCATTTATGAGTGTAAATTAAAGACTTCTCTTAGATGATGTAATCGTTTTTGTTTATATCCAGGTGGCTGTGGGATGCCTCTCTAGATGTTCGTGGGTGATGGATATCTGTCGATGGGAGACCTAAGGATCTATAGTGCTTTGTCGGCTCAACATCGATATGTGGCACTAGCGCCGTCTTGTTTGTTGGATTCGTGCATGTAATAGTAATTTAGTTACTAAGAGACATTAAGAATCATCGGTGTAATAGTAACTTGGTTACTAAGAGATTTTTTTGGCAATATCAATATGTTATGTTGAGATTGGTGTAATAGTAATTTATTTACTAAGAGAAATCTTGTGATGATATATATGGAAAATCATATATGAACCAAAGTTCATATGAACCATGAATCTCAACCGTCGGTGAGTTCCAAGAAGCGTGCCCAAGTGCACAATGGTTAGCAGGATTAGGGCTGGACGAAAAACTCGTAGCTCGTTAGCTCACTCGGCTCGTCACTAGCTCGGCTCGACTCGGCTCGGCTCGTTGTGAATTCCTAACGAGCCGAGCCAATGTTTTAGCTCGTTAGTCATAACGAGCCAGCTCGAGCTGGCTCGCGAGCAGCTCACGAGCTAAACGAGCTGAGGTCAAAAGACAGCCCAACAAAAATATTTGGAGGCCCAGCCCAACTAGACATCAGGTATATATGCATAGAAACCCTAAATCCCCATCCCATTATCGATCTAGATCCTAGCCTACGGTCCCAGCGCCGCACCCTCGCTCCCCCCGTCTCACTTCGAGCCTCCAACGCTCCCAGCGCCTACTCGCCCTCCCCCATCTCACCAATCTCGCGCTGCCGACAGCAGGGTCGTGGCCGGCCGCGGGCTGCCCTCCATATCTCACCGTCGGTCATCGCTTGGTGAATGGCCGGTTGAAGACCCGAGCCTATATCCTCGCCGCCGTCGGCATCAGTACTGATCTGAGGCCGTCAACATCGAGCAAGCTTGTATTCCAGCCGTTCTGTTACTTCTTTCATTGCCGCCAACACTGAAGACCGGATCTGTTGTTTTCTCTTTTTTTTTGTTTTATTGGCTTGTTTCATTTGCAATTTTCATAGTTACTATTTGATATTTTGGTACTTCTTTGGGTGAATCGCTGATTGGCTATAGATTGGAACATCATATTATGGATATATGCATTTGCTTTATTTGTTTCTGCCATCTTGCTCACTGGATTGATATGTGCTAGCTGTGTACTGACTGAACCTTGCAGTTTTATTGCTCTGGCTCACGAGCTTAACGAGCTGGCTCGAGCTTTCCAACGAGCCGAGCCGAGCCAGCATCCTAGCTCGTTAGGATCGGCTCGTTATCCTAACGAGCTAGACCGAGCCGAGTCGAGCCTAGCCGAGCTGGCTCGCTATCCAGCCCTAAGCAGGATTGAGAGACGGTAACAGTACTACTATTTGTTAATTTACACTTACTGCCCCGTTAGAGCAAGGTCAATGGTATAGCCAACTAGGCTCCAATTCATCTATAGCCAATCTAATAGCCAATTTATACAATAGTTGCTTACTATACTATTAGCATATGGTCCCACCGTCATATACACATTGCGTCTTGAAGTCCGTGCTGCAGCTGACTACAGATTTGTAGCCCGCTGCTCTTCTCTCTTATCTTTTATCTTATTAAAATATATTTACAGCTGGCTTATAGCATGCTATTGTACCTGCTCTTACAGTGGACACGTCAGGGATCGTGGAGACATGTCAGCTTGGCCCACTGACACAAAATAGAAAAAACTATTCACGTACAGTAGCTGCTCCCTTGTCACGCTTTAACACTCTGACGAGCATGGCTATGACTTGTCTTCTCTCGAACATGGCTGTTGATATTTGTTGACCAACTATGGATGTGTTTTAGTTATTTAGTGTAAAGTCTTTAAGTATACGGGCACATATTTAAAGTATGAAACATAGACTAATAATAAAATAAATTATAAATTCCGCATGTAAACTACGAGACAAATTTATTAAGCCTAATTAATCTGTCATTAGCAAATATTTACTATAGCATCATATTGTCAAATCATGGTGTAATTAGGCTTAAAAGATTTGTCTCGTAATTTACATGTTAACTGTGCAATTGTTTTTTAAAAAAATTATTAGTAATAAAAAATAATTTATGTGTAGCATCATATTGTCAAAATGCTTATCCGATAAAATTTATTAGTAATAAAAATATTTTATGTGTAAAATATTTGTACGTATATCCTTAACAATTAAAAATCAAATGCTATAAATAAGCCAATCATAAAATCAACTTCTAAATTAAGTTTAAAACTTTAATTTTATTTTTTAAAAGTTAAATGAGAACGTGGTTAAAGGATGAGGACATGGCTGTGTAACCCCCTCCTCCCGGCACGTATAAACGAAATTCGTTTTATTGCATGACTATTTAAGTATTAACTATTTTTTTTAAAAAATAGATTAATATGTTTTTTTAAACAACTTTCATATAGAAAGTTTTTTATAAATTACACCGTTTAGCAGTTTGAAAAATGTGCGCGCGGAAGACGAGAGAGGTGGGTTAGGAAAATGGGCACCGGTAGAGAAACCATATTTGGTCGGTTGCCCAAAATCCACAATAATCCCGGTTTGAATAAGAACCGGACTAAAAATGATCTTTAGTCCCGGTTGAAAAAGCTGACGTCACTTTTTAACACCAACCGGGACTAAAGATCATTTTTAGTCCCGGTTCGAAAGAAGGCAGGCTGTGTTAGACCCCCCACTATGATAATACCAACCGGGACTAAAGATCCAATTTTAATCCCGGTTGCTTATAACAACCGAGACAAAAGAAAAACGAAAAAAAATCGCACTGCGCCTCCTTGAGAGGACCAACAGCCTTATCCTCTCATCCACTCATCTCTCCTCCTCTCCCTTATCTTCTCCAATCTTCTCCTCCCTTCTCATCTTCTCATCTCCTTCTTCTCTTCTTCCCCCTTCCTTCCCTTCCCCTCTCCTCCCCCTCCCCTGCGGCCGTGGCAGATCCCTCCCCGACACAAGCGTGGCCGCGCGCGGCGAGCGGCGGATGCAGCCGCGGCGGCGGCTGGGCGGCGGGCCGGCGAAGGGTGGCGGCGGCGCAGGCGGAGCGTGCGGCAGAAGCGGCGGCGGCAGCGGCCGTGCAGCCTGGCGGAGGGTGGCGGCCAGGTGACAGTGGTGAAGCGATGAATTTGCTTTTGAGAATTTGTGATGTATTTGATCTGTGCGATGTAAATATGTGATGTATTTGTGATGTTTCTTTTTAGAATTTGTGATGTATTTGTTTTGATTATCTGTGATGTATTTGGATATTGTGGATTTGTAGATGATCGATCTGGGATTCGGAGATGATCTTTTGTTCTGTGATTTTGGGGATGATTTGGGGATATGGTGAAATCAATATTCAAAGTAAAAAACAATAAAAGAAAAAAGAAAATACTAACCAGATCTGGTTTCATTTTTAGTCCCGGTTGGTAACACCAACCGGGGTTTAAAATGGCTCCATCTTTAGTCCCGGTTGGTACCAACCAGGACTAAAGATCGATTTTTAGTCTGGGGTATTTGAACCGGGACTAAAGATAACGATCTTTAGTCCCGGATTCGTAGTTCCGGTTGAAAAACCGGGACTACAGGGGGTTGCAAACCGGGAGTAAAAAACGTTTCTCCACCAGTGGGGGGAAGAACACAGCCTATTAAGTCAGGAGCTTTGGGACGGTAGCAACGCCCATTTATTTGACACTCTTAATATAATTAACAACAAGATTCCCTATAAAATATTTTATAGATCTCGTCAAGATTTATTGAAGAGTTTGAAACGTAGTTCAAAGAGATTTTCTAAAAATTGATCCAAGATTTATAACAAATATTTGGACCTCTGAACAATATTAAGAAATCAGTAGTCAACCACCAAAATTACGGATTTCGTTGAAATGCATAATTTTGATAAAATATTTGACCTCGTATGACCTATTTTAAAGGAACAATTGCTTATTTGACCCCGTTTTGAGCCCTAACTACCAATTTGACCCTACTTTTAAAAGTTTGCTTATTTGACCCTCCTTTTCAAAAACGAAGCTCCCGTATGACCCTGTTCTGTTAAGGGCATCTAACGGTGTTAACTGAAGCACAAAATGTCTCTTTTGCCCTTACTCATTTGACCCTATTACATGTGGAACCCACCCGCAGTTCCCTCTTCTCCTCTCCTCTCTTCTCTCTTCTCTTCTCTTCTCTTCTCCTCTCCTCCACGGGGCGGCGACTGATGGGCCGGCGGCGGCGGCGCTCTGAGGGGGCTGAGGGAGAGGGGACGGAGGGAGGGAGCGGCGGCAGCGGTGGCTGACGGAGGGGGTGAGTTGCGGCGGGGGCGCACGGAGGGGGCGAGCTGTCGTCCTGGCTCGTGGAGGGAGGGAGGAACGACGGCGGTGCAGGTGAGCGGAAGGAGGGAGGAGGCGGCGGCGACGGCGCAAGCGCCCGGAAGGAGGGAGGAGGCGGGAGAGGGGGCCGGCGCCGGCGCAAGCGTGCGGAAGGAGGGAGGACGCGGCAGCGGCGGCGCCAGATCTGAGGGGGTGGCGGCGCCGGCTCCGGCTCTTCGTCGTCGTCGTCAGCAGGGCGCCGGCGCTGGTTCTGGCTCTTCGTCGTCGTCCTCGTCCTCGTCAGCAGGGCGCCGGCTTCGGCTCTTCGTCGTCGATGAGCCGCCGCCGCCACTCCTCCTCGTCGTCGTTGTCACTAGAGCCGGTGCCGGCTCGTCGTCGTCGTCACCAGGGCCGGTGCCGGCTCATTGTCGTCGTCACCAGGGCGGCGCTGATCTGAGGGGGTGGCGGCACCAGCTCGCCGTCTCGCCGCAAGTCGCAGCCGTCGCCGCAAGGAGAGAAATGTGGATAGGGTTGGGTGGATGCATAGGGTTTTCTAAGGGTATTCTGGGTATTATAAATATTAGTTGTATTTCTTTTTTTATTTTAAATCAAAACTTAACGGACTAATGGAAACAGGGTCAGACGGGAGCTTCGTTTTTGAAAAGGAGGGTCAAATAAGCAAACTCTAAAAAGTAGGGTCAAATTGGTAGTTAGGATTCAAAACGGGGTCAAATAAGCAATAGCCCCTATTTTAAAATTTATAAATTCAAAAATCGCATCGTTGCATGGCTCGTGTGACCACAGACCATCCCCATGCGCACGATAGAATTGATATATTTTTTATAAGAATAAATTATATATAGTTCATTTTACCTTCGACCTAGTTTGATACTATATACGGGATGGATTAATATTGCATGCTCTTGGAAAATAAAATTGTTGCACATGCTCCTGTTGTACGGCAAAGATGTAAGTAC